GCTCTCGGGGGACAGCCCTGAGCAACAGCATTGTAGGCATTTGACAGAAGGGGGGGGGGGGGGGGGGGGGGGGGGGGGGGGGGGGGGGGGGGGGGGGGGGGGGGGGGGGGGGGGGGGGGGGGGGGGGGGGGGGGAAAGGCCTAGTTGTTCCAGCTGTCCTTGGAGAGGGCCTGAGTGGTCACACATGAGCACAGCTTACAGGTGGTACAAGTGTTGAGAGAGGTGGCCATTCCCCTGATAGCCATAATCTTACAGTTTGTTGTTGTTGTTTAAGTTGGGGTCTCAGTATGTTGCCCAGGCTGGAGTGCGGTGGTGCCAACATAGCTCATTGTAGCTCTGAACACCCAGGCTCAAGTGATTCTCCCACCTCCACCTCCCAGGTAGCTGGGACTACAGGTGAACACCAACAACACTTGGCTAATTTTTGTATTGTTTTGTAGAGATAGGCTTCTGCTGTGTTGCCCAGGCTGGTCTCAAACTCCTGGCCTCAAGCGATCCTCCTGCCTCAGCCTCCTAAACTGTTGAGATGACAGGTGTGAGCCACCACACCCAGCCATCTTACAGTTTTAAAGCAGGTGAAACTGGCAGAGCTGGAGGTGGCTGGGAAAGGCGGCTGTGCCAGGCCTAGTGGAGCCTGGGGCTCCACTTATCTCATTCAGAACTGAAGACCTGAGCTGTGACGGCACAGGGGCCCTCAGCATCTGGGTCATTAGCAAAGGGACTGGCAGTTGCACAGGCCAGAAAGGAGCCCACCTGTAGGAAAAAGGTAAGTCTGATGGGCCAACCTCAGTTTCTCCAGCTAGAAAATGAGGGCATGGGACCAGAAGATCATACCCACAGCTACTAATATTAACCTCCTGCTATGTGTCACACTCCTTTCTTGGGCCTTCTGGGAACCCGTCCTGAGCTGACTGGACTCACCATTCCAACCTCAGTCCCTGCTACTCTCCCCATAACCTCCCGCCATCTTTCAACCTCACCAGGCTCAAGTACGCCAAGCCTGTTCCTGCCTCAGGGCCTTTATACGTGCTGTTCCCTCCGCAGAATGTCTTCCTGTGGTCTTTGCCTAACTGGCTCCTTGCCATCCACCTCTTCAGAGAAGCCCTCCATCATCACCCTGCCTCAAATAGCTTCCCAGTCACTTGCCTTTACATTACCCAGTTATGTTCTTTGCCACTCCATTCCCCTTCCAGCATGGGTGCTCTGTTAAATCAGGAACCTTGTTCCTTCTGGTCTCTGTGGTGTCCCATCCCTACCCCCATGTGAGTGCCTGGCACATATAGACACTTGATACCTGCTTGCTGAATAAATGAATAAGTGCAACTTGGTAAGTTGGTGCTTCATTTGTGTTATTTCAAGTAGGTGTCATAAATATTTGCTTTTGTTAGGTATTGAGGGAGATGTTATCATCAGGGTCCTACACAAGAGGAAACTGAGGTTCCCAGAGGTGAGGTCACACAGCTGGGACCTGGACTCAAGGCTCTGCCTCCAAAGACCTCTCCCCCAGGGTGCCCCACCTTTTGTCGAGCAAAGAGGAGACACCAGCCACCAGGAGCTGGGGATAATCTTTGTGCTTTAGAGATGAGGAGGTGATGGCTGTGGGTGAAGTTGCTCAGCACTGCCACCCTCAGTCCTGTGGTGGTAATGCCTTTAGGCTCGTTCGTGGGGCACACTGCCTGCAACTGTGATTCTCAAGAGACCCAGGGCAGGGCTGGGAGCAAGTGGCAGCTGTGTGGTTCACACACCACCTGAAGCAGCTGGCTCCTAGAGGTGCCCAGTCAGAACAACACACAGGGATTTCCGGAGAGAGTGCTGTCCTTCAAATTATTCAGGCTCATTTCCCAGACAGGCCCAGCACAATGCCACAGATTTCCCCAGTGGCATAGTGTGCTGCGAAGCCTCCTACCCACAGGACAGGTGCCCCTTGCCTCTGTGGGTAACAGAGAAGTGCCTCATGTGCCCGAAGACTGCAGAAGTCTGCTTCATTGGCCACCTGTCTGTCGGCAGTGGTCTACACCTCTTCAAACCCCTGAGCTGAGGTTTATTGTGGTCAAGGGGCAAGATCATGGCTATTAGAGCCACCTTGATCTGGATTGAAGTCCCAGCTATGCAACTTACTGGCTGAGTGATGCTGGACCTGTCACATAACTCTCCAAGCCTCAGTTTCCCTGTCTGTAAAAGGGAGATACTTATTAAAGTGCTTGGTCCAGAATTAAGTCAACAAGTGGCATATCTGCCATCTGGCATATCAGCCCCTTGCCATCTGGCCACAGTTTCACCTCTGGCCACTCCTGCCCAGTTCCTCTGCCATGCTTTGCACATGCTGTTCTCTGCCTAGATGCTCACCCTGCCTTGCCTGCTGGGCCAAGGTCTCTTCCTTCTACATGGCAGGCACCTCCTCCAGGAAGCCTTCCCAGACACCCTCAGAGCGTTGGTCTATCCTGGGTTCTCTGAGCCTCCATACTGTTAGAGTGGTGAGGTCTGTAATGGTCAGTGTGTGTGGACCAGGGTTGTGTCGTTTTCGTCCCAATGTCCCCAGCACAGGACTCAGCAGGAGGAATATCAGTTGAATACATAGATGAAAGAAGCACTCGAAAATAGAAATGAATTAATGAGTAGAGAAAGGAATGAAGAAAGCATGGAGGAAGGAAAAAGACAAAATGAAGGAAAAGGAGAAGAAAGCAAGGGAGTGGGAGAAAACAGAAGGTAAAAAGAAAAGAAATGAGAGAGAAAAGGCAGAGAAGGAAGTGGGCCCTCCTAGGGTCCCTCCCGCCATGCTGATGTCTCAAGTCCCAGCTCTGCAACTTACTTACCCCCCTGTCCTGCCTGCTTCTGTCTGCCTGTCACTCCACAGAGGTCCTCAGTTGCCTCCGGCTCCCACAAAATATTCATTGTTCTCTTGCCTGCTCCACTCCGCCTCTCCCTGCTTGTTAGGTGCCAAAATGGTGGAATGATCAGAGGTAAAGCACGTCTGTCACCAGGCATGGTGGGGCTGATTCATCGAAAGACGCTCCTCTCCCCTAGGCTCTGCTGCAGAGGCTGAGTCAGCCCTGGCTGCTTCTCTCCTAAGGTCACAGCTATGTCTTCCCCAGAGGGTCCAGGAAATGTAGCACAGGCTTCGAAAAGGGCACAGCCCCTGGAGCTAGAGAATTTCTTTTTGAGCAATTGGGATCAGAGAACCCTTGGCTTGAATGTGGTGGGGCAGACTCTAAGGATGCTGGAAGGGGCTGGGAGGTGGTTCAGCCTGTGCTGGAGCTAGGGGAGCCCCAGTTCCACTTGGCGTTCTGGAACAACCTCGTGGGCAATTCCTTGAGCATGATCCAGGAAGGCTGGTATCTGGGGATGGACTTGGGCTGGTAGGGGAGTGGGTAGCCTTTCCAGATGGGACTGGAGACAGGGCTGAGGGAGCACGGGGGAGTCAACACTCTGCAGGCCGAGAGGCAGAGGCCAAGATTCAGAAAGGCTGCCAGAGCCCACCCAGCTCCAGTCTGCGATGACAGCCACTGAGAGCCCAGCCAATAGCTACTTTATCTGTGCACCTACTATGTGCCAGATCTCCACCATGTACTCAGGGCTCCTGGGACCTTGTTTCATTCCATCCTCACAGCAGCCTTCTGGCATAGGTGTCATTGTCATCTCCATGTGAGGAAACCACAGCTTGGAGAGGTCGGAAATCCTTAAGCCCATGGCTGTAGAATGTCAGAGTCCCAATCTGAACCAAGAACAGCCAAGCCCTGTTGCCTTCTTGTCCAGCTACCCTTTAGAAACGACTTACTAATTTTTCTAGAATATAATAATACACGCTAGCTGTAGAAATGTAGAGAAGTAGAGTTCAAAAAAGAAAATGGACTTTACCCCAAACCCAGCATTGTTTTCTCTATGCCCTTAAAAAAAAACCACAGCAGGCACCATGTGGCTTCTTGTTATTCCTACTTAACATTAGAGCAGAAGCATTGTCCTAGGAGAATACAACTTTTGGCAAGTATAATTTTTACTGGCTGTCATAGTATTGGGGTTGGGAATATGCGCCCTAATTTCCTTAGCCATTCCCCTATACCTGGACGTTTGGATGGACTCCAAAGTTTCACTGTTATAAACAAGACTGCTATGTGTTTCTTTGTGTTCAGGCTTTTTCTATGTTTCAGGCTTTTTCTATGTTCCAGATTTCTGGAAGGGGAATGATTGGGTTAAAGGCAGGGTTGCTTTGGGGAGTGGGTGGATTGGAAGAGGACCAAGGAATCCTGGCAGTCATCCCCAAGAAAGGTGCTTTTTTTTCTAAGAGAGACCAGCTCATTGAGGGAGGCTGCCTTCCTTTGGACTAACTGGCCTAAGTTAGACTAACATCAGAACTTTTGATGATACCTTTTTGACCTTCTGACTGTTTCTTTACCCTCTTATAAGCACTGTGGGTGTGTGTTGAGGGGCCCTTCATACATTCACCTACTGGGTTCCTGGAGGCAGCCGCGGATTCAGAGAACTTGGGGATAATCTTATTCAACCCTCCTCATATGCACACAGGTGTACCATTTGACAGGTGCAGTGACTGAGTCCCAGTAAGGACAGGTAAGTTGTTTAATCTGCCTGAGAGTAACTTTGCTGAGAGCAGATGGAGGCTCCCTGACTCCATGGCTCCCTCCACTGTGTTAGCTGCCTTGCATTTTTTTTTGATTCCAGATCATATAATTCTATCCCCAAGCATAATGAAGAACAATTGCTGGTATCATGGTTGCCATGGCAACACTGGCTCCAAATTTCCTGCTAGAGGTGCTGGGAGTGAGGGCTTGGACTATGAGGGTCCTGAGGCTGGGATGGGGGTGCTGACTGGAATGGGGCTGGAGTCCACTAAGCTCATGCCAGTGCAGTGACATCACCCTGATGCCCTCAAGGAAGCCTCAGGGCTGAGCCCAGAGCATGGACTGTCACCAACAGTGCTCCAATTTGGTGCTGATGTTCCCTGTGCAAAGAGAAGCAGGATCCATGTTTCACTTTTTTTTTTTAAGACTGGAAGATGAGAAGCACGGCTGAGTCCCGGAGCAGACTGAGCCACTTAAGAGGGGAGGAACCACTGCAGAGAAACCGTGTCAAGCCTTTTTGAAGTTCCGGGGGGAGAACAAGAGAGCGGAGGCTCCTGGTGGCTGGTGACAGGTGCTGATTTGTTCTGGGGAAACAGCACAGAAAAGTGACTGGAGAGGAGGCTGGGCCAGAATGGGATGCAGGCAATGGGAAGGACTCTCAAGACACAGTCCTGGGCTCGCAGGCAGGACCAACCCCCAAACCTGTCCCCCCAGGAGCCTGCAGAGCCTCTGCCCTGACAGGGGACACCTCACCTCCTCTCCTTGCAGCTGCTCTTGGCTGGGAGAGCAGAGAACAGGGGACAGGAGAGAAGGCCCCAGAGTACTGAAGCTGAGGCTGGGATAGTCTTCATTTGCCTCTTTCCTCAGCCCTTTTCCTGTTCTCTTGTCTTTTCTCTCTTTCTCTACTTCCCTTCTCCCTAGCCCAGTCTCTCACCTTTCTTCATCCTCTGGGCCTTTTCTTCTTCCTCTCTTGCCATGATTCTTCCTTCTCTGTCCCTCTTGTCTTCTCTTTTACTTCCTCTCTTCTTCTCTCCTTCCTGCAGCTATGCCCTCTTCCCTCCTTTTTCCTGTCCCCAACCAGGGCATTAGAAATGCATCCCAGTCAGCCTGATCTGATCACTGCATATTGTATGCATGAATCAAAATATCACATGTACCCCAGAAATATGTAAATTACTGCATATCAATGAAAAGAAATCTAGCTTCTTTGCCTCACGTAGAGAAAAGCCAATCTCAAGTATAAATAAACAAGCAAATAAAACAAACCACACTGGCCCCCCCGCCTCCCTGCCATCATCTGGGCCTGCCACCATTTGCTCAGGGTATCTAAACATCAGCCAAAATCAAAGAAAAAGTTTTAAAAATCTATTGTTGAAAATTTCCAAAATTAAGTAGACATGCCTGTACAATAGCATTTCCCAAACTGTGACTTAATAAACTCCAGGCCTTTAAGTTGGGAGAGGTGGTTCCGTGATACAGTTAAAAGCACAGACTCAAGCCCATCTGCCTGGGTTTAAATCCTTGCTCTGCAGCACGATAGTTATGTGACATCGGGCAAGGGCTTAAGTCCTTCTGTACCTCAGTTTCCCTCTCTGCAAATGGTAATAATAATAATAATACCACATGCTTTATAAGTTGTTGTGAAGATTAAATGCCTTAAAATGGAAAGATCTTAGGACAGTGCCTGGCACTTAATAAGTGCTCTATAAGTGTTAGTGATTCCTAGAAGTATTGCATGAAAGGAAGTTTGAAAAACGCTGAATACTTCTTGGCTGCCATCTTGGAAATAACATGATAGCACATTAGAGGGTTGGGAAGTCCTACAGCAAAAAGACCTGTATGACTCTGTTTACCTTAGTAATCCTCAAACTCTTTTTTACTATAGTACTCCCAATCTCTTCTTTTATGCACAAAATCTGTCTCTGAGGACACTCTCACTTTTTGAGTGGATCACAGTTTGAGAACTGCTGATTTGGGATTATTCACTGGAGACCATGTTGAGTGAGGTAGAGCGAGAAAGCATTATCTGAGTCATCAGGAAGATGTAGGGTCAAATGCCAGCTTTACCCTCCCCAGCCACAGGGCCCAGGAAGTGTGTGGGCAGGCCCCGAGAGGAGAAAAGGCTTGCCCAAGGCCACACAACCAGTTAGGGTGAGATTCAATATTATTACACTGGATTTCCAAGCCTAGACCTTTCCATCTCCCTCCTCTTCCTCATTATCAAATAAAGGCAGGAGGTCTTTGTGTTGTTGCTGCTGGGGGACGGTCCCTCCTCATCTGCTCCCTCCCTGGTTGACTTTTCATGCCTTTCAGGACCTGGGCTGCAGTGCTCACCCCAAAGCACATGCTTTTCTCCCAATCAGAGAGAGGGAGGAGGCGAGATATCTTCAGTTTCCCACCCACCAAAAAAAAAAAAAAAAAAAAAAAAAAGAGAGCTAAGGTATTTTTTAAAAAACAGCTCCCCACATAAGCAGAGTGACCGAGCCTAATACTTTTGAGAGATGACTTGTGTGCCCTGTCCCTGGTGCTGAAACCTGGATGGGCACCTGGGCAGTGGTCTCCAACCCTGGCACGGGCTAGAAGGGCTGCTGCAGAATCTCCTGTGGGAGTGGAGGGGGGGGTTCCACTTAATTCTGTGATTTCAAGGTCTTGCATCTCACCTGTTGGATCAGAATCCCCTGGAGTGGGCACCTGCCTTCCATATGTTTGAAAATCTCCTGGGGGTCAGTGCTTTGGGACCACACTACCTTGGGGAGCATTCATGTAACCCAACCCTGGTCCACCTCTCTCATGGATCATTGTTTGTCAGTGATATTATTTTCTGATTTTCTGAAAAAAATTGTAATTTTGATACTCTTGCAGGAAAGAAAACTCCATGATATATTTTTCCTATTAATGGAGCAGATTTTATGGCCTGTTGACAGTTCTATTATTTTTATGGCAGTAGCAGTTTTTTCCTACTCTGGGGACTTTAGGATGCATATTCCTAGTGAATCCATATTTGTGGTCCTCTGGAGTCCACAGGAGCTAAATGAGGCTATTCTCACTCCATTCCTTCTTTTGGCCTGCAGGCCTTGTGGTTTACAGGGCTAGAATGGTCTTAATTATGTTCGTGTGTTCTGTCTCCATGTTGCACTGCTCCAGGCAGAGATGAGAAGCTTCTGTTGTGGTATTTGTTCTTTCAGGCACTTCTCTTTCCCCCTGGGATCCTCAGGAAAATACTCCTTGATGGAGAAAGAGTTACATTGAGCGTCCTGCCAAGAAAGATGCTGGCGAGATGGGGCCAGAGACCTTCATTAGCCTGTGATGAGGCCCCTGGGCTCTAATACTGGGGAGGAGGGTGGATTCTACCGTTGCATCCTGTCTCATCCTCTTATCTGATGTCCCAGATGCTAGAGCAGGTAGCTCTCAGGCCACAAGGAAGTATACGGTAGTGGTTACAAGCACAAGATTTGGCACCGGACCTGGGTTCAAATCCTGGCTCTGCTTTTTGCTAGCCATCTGACTTTGGACAAGTTTTTTTTTTTTCTTTCCCAGTTACTGGGCCTCAGTTGCCTAATGTGTAAAATACAGACAGCACTACACATGCCTCAACAGGATTGAGGTAGAGATCAAGTAAGAAAACGGATATAAAGTGTCATCCTATAAACCATCGTAGCTCATTACAGTCATACAAATGGATCTCTACCCAAGTGATGATGGCAAACTTTAGAAAGCATTTACATCTTATTGTGATACTCTTGGAGCCCTGCAAACTTCCACTCCCCTGATGGAGTAGAAATTGAGTTCTAAGAATGAAGATGAAGGCAGATGTCTGAGGTCATGGAAGGGCAGGGATGTATGTTCAGATCAGAGCATTGATCACTGCTCTTTCTCAGGCCTTTTCCCAAGGTAACTCTAAAGGGCAGTCCAGTGAGAAAGAAAGGAAACCATTCCAGGGTTGAAAAGGTCACTGAATTTCCCCCAGCCTCTAGCATGGAAGCCCTTGGCCAGTATGGACCTGGGGCTGCTTGGGTCTTAGGGTTGGCCTGAGGGAGCAAAGCTGGGGTGCCCCTGCCCCCTTTGCACAGACAAGAAGATGGAGGCCCAAAGGGGTCAAGCGACTTTGCCCAAGGACATAAGGTTAGTTGGCAGCAGGATCAGGGCGCCCTTTTCATTGCACCACAAGACTTCCTTGGCAGGGTGCAATGTGTCCAGCCACTGGCTTCTGTCTAAAGAAAGAAAGATTCAAGGAGACATGGATTCATTTCTGGAAAAGTGGACTGGATTGGTTCTGTGGGGCCCCCAAGTAGCAGCAGTACAGCTAAAGAGTTAGGAACTCAGTGGCACTAACAAGAAGCACTACATCGGTGTTGTGGTGAGTCAATAGGACTATCCGTGGTGATACCTATTAGGATACACTTTGCTTCTTTTATGAACGATACTTTAGGTCTGTGTTTATTCACATGCTAAGATGTTGAGTAAGAAAGTGAAGAGGCTACACTATTGTCAGGAATAGTAATAGCCTAAATTGTATGCAAAATTGTATATGCAGACTTCCAGTGATGCAAGGAGCTATCTGCGCAACAGTGAGCTCCTCATCACTGGAGGTGAGCAAGCCCCTGGTGGGGATGAGGCAGGGAGGACTCGGGCATCTGCCAGAGAAATGGCCCAGCACCCCGATGCCCATAATGCCCACTCTCCCCCTTCTCAATTATCTGGCACCCACTCACTGGGGGCCCCTGTTTTCCAAAGCAACAAGCAGCCTGCGTGGTAATTACTTTTGGACTTATTAAGCCTAATTATCCCCTAATCGCATACAACCAGTAATTACTGTGGCTGTTACCAGGGGCCTACCCATGCAGTGCCGCCCTTAGCACTGGCGTCCAACACCCAGCTGGGGCCTGAGGTGGAGCTGGTGCTCCCTTCCGTAGGTTTGGGGGCGGAGGTGTTGGCTGGGGTGGGGCTGCTGCATCTGAGATCCCCAACCTGGAGCCCCTTCAGCCTGGGTACTGGCTGGTGAAGGAATCGCTCACAAATGCCAGCCCTGGGGCTACCCCAAGCTCCAAGCAGGCAGGGTCCTTCCAAGTACTCCCTTCCCAGTGATGGTTGCCCAGGCTGCCCTGCCTGTGCCCAAGCCATTCCCTCCTTCCGGGCTCTCTTTCTCTCCTCCTTTCCCCCTTCCTTCCCTCCAGCCTCCTATCCACTTTCTTTTCTTCCTTCAAATATTTACTGAATCTCTTTTATGTTCCTGGCTCTATTTCTAGTACTGGGGATACAACAGTGAAGGGAAAAAATGGCAAAAATCCATGCTTTCATGGAGCTTACTGTCTACTTGGGAGAGACAGAGAATGAACAAAATCAGTAAATGATGCAGGGTATTAGAAACGGTTGAGTTCTATGAAGGAATAGAAAGCGGAATGTCAAGGAGGAGGTTTTCTTGGGCTGGAGGAGAAATTCAGTTTTAATAGGATGGCCAAATGGAGAATGGGGCATTTGAACAAAGACTTGGAAGGAGATAGGCTAAACTAGGATGACAGCTGGGGAATGTTCCAGGAAAAGGGGCCAGCCAGTGCCAAAACCTGAAGGTGCAAGCAGGTCTGGCACATTTGAGGAGCAGGGAGGGTGTCCTGGTGGCTGGAGCAGAGAAGCGAGGGGGAGAGAGGTGGGTGAGGAGGTCGGAGCTGCCAGGAAGGGGTGGAGGGCAGATAGTAGAGCCTGGTGGGGGAGTTTAAAAACTTTGGCTTTTCCTCCGAAGGAAACTTCTGAGCAGAGAGGTGAGCACTTTCTTTCTTTTGTTCTTTGAATCGGAGTCTCGCTCTGTCGCCCAGGCTGGAGCACAGTGGTGGGATCTCAGCTCACTGCAACCTCCGCCTCCCAGGTTCAAGCGATTCTCCTGCCTTGGCCGGACGCAGTGGCTCACGCCTGTAATCCCAGGACTTTGGGAGGCTGAGGCGGTCAGATCACAAGGTCAGGAGATCGAGACCATCCTGGCTAACATGGTGAAACCTCGTCTCTACTAAAAATACAAAAAATTAGCCGGGCGTCGTGGCACGCGCCTGTAGTCCGAGCTACTCGGGTGACTTGTACTTTTATAGCCTCCACTCTATCCACAGGGATGGTGGAGGTTAAGGGGGGCAGGAGCCCAGGGAGGAGGAGCTGTAGCCGCAGTCCCAGTGAGAGAGGGTGGGGCTTGGGCTAAGCGGCAACGCGGAGCAGATGGCAGTGGGAGGAATCTGGAAACACCTTCAAGGTGGACATGGCAGGACCCTCTGAGGGGCTACATA